ATGGGTGCTAGAAACTGAGCAGAACAGCTCCCAGTGGCTCCGGGCCAAACCTGAGGCGCTCTCGGGGACCTTGCGCTGCCACCGTGTGAGGAGGGCGCGTGGCCTCAGGGACTGCACTCTAACACTGCTCATGCAGACCTGGAACTTTCTCACACCATGCAACAGCAAGCTCATGGGCCCCCTGGGAGAACCAGGAGAAAACTGGCTGAGGGACGTGGTGGTTGTTGGGCCAGCGGGACATGTGACTTGGCCAAGAGCAGGTATATGAGTGGCTAAATGGCTGTGTGGAATACTATACAGCAAGGCAGAGTGAGCAGGCCACCGCTGCACACGGCACCATGAATCAAAGGGAAGACGCCGAGCTCTGTGATTCCACTCATCTAATGCACCGTACTGAGGCTGGGGATGCAGCTCAGGGTAGAGCACTGGCCCAGCACACCAGAGGCAAGTGCCACCCCAGCTCCACAAAAGAAAGGAGGGAGGGGGAAAGGGGGCGGGAGAAGATTTGGGAGCAATACCACGTGCATAACACATAACTGCATGTGGACAGAATTTTTTTTTGTTTTTGTACCAGGGATTGAACCCAGGGGCAGTTAATCACTGAGCCACATCTCCAGTCCTTTTTATTTTTATTTTTTTAGTTGTAGATGGACACAATGCCTTTATTTTGTTTATTGATTTTTATGTGCCTCACAAATGCTAGGTAAGTGCTCCACCACTGAACCACAACCCCAGTCCCCCAGGCCTTTTTATTATTTTTTAATAATATGGTCTCACTAAGTTGCTGAGGCTGGCTTTGAACTCGAAATCCTCCTGCCTCAGCCTCCTAAGTCTCTGGGAATACAGGGGCACACCACTGCACCCAGCCAGAAAATGTGATTTTTCCTCGGAGCACAAGGAAGTATTTGCACAGATATCTAAAACTGCCAGGCCATCGCCATCTGTTCTGCAGGTTTGTTCTGGCTCCTGAGAATGAGCAAAGTAGCCACACACTGTCATGTTCTGAGGTTTTAACAGCAACATGAGTTGTTTTCCTACCGGAAATAATAGAAATAGCTGAAAACTTAAACTCGGAGCGCTGTGGCCGCCCTGCAGGTGCTACACAGGCCCACTCCCTTGACTGCAGCCAGGTCAGCTCTGGACATCTGTGGGTGACAGAGCCTCAATTCTGGTCAATCCTAGATGGACGGCCCCAGGGACAGCAATCTCAAAAGGACCCTAAAGTTTTCCCAAAAGCAGAGGGCAGGGTGACGGCCCACCGTTAGCCACCAGGGGGAGCCACAGACAGACTATTCTAGAAACAGTGAAGGCTGGGGCAACTGAGTCCTGGGCAGAGCCCCTTCCAGACCCTCCACATCTGTGCCCTGCGGCAGCCTCATAGGCCTCCACAGGCACCTGCATGTCCATCCCAGGACAAGGCCGTGCCACCCTAAAGCTGCTCAGCACCCTGTGTTCGTCCTGTTTCAGGCCCGGGAGGCACAGCCGCTAGCTTCGTATCTTATGGGCTTGTTTTTATACATGCAGTTGGTCCCCTGTATCCGTGGGTTCTGCATCCACGGATCCGACTGACCACTGAGGTAAATTATTCTGGAAAAAAAATGTCACCAGTACTAAATACATACCGGCTGTTAATCCCTAAACAAGACAGCACCCGCGTACGGACCACGCGCACTGTACCAGGGGCTGTGAATCCTCTGGAGGTGGTGAGCATCACAGGCAGCGGGTGCAGAGGGTCTATGCAAAGGGCTTTGCGCATGGGTGGGTCCTGGCAGTGGAGGAAGCCCTGAGCCAATGCCCTGGGGTACGGACGGACATGCCAAAGACCTGAGCCCACAACTGCGGCCAAATGTTTAGTTTCCTGTCCGGACGTCCGTAATCCCAGTAACTGGGAGGCTGAGGCAGGAGGATTGCAAGTTCAAAACCAGCCTCAGCAACTTAGCAAGGCCCAAAAAACTCAGTGAGGGCTAGAATGTGGCTCAGCGGTTAAGCACCCCTGGGTTCAATCCCTGGTACCCCCCAAAAAAGTTGTAGAGTTTTCTTTATCAGACACATTTATATAAGTAAAATGGGAGGAGTAAAACCCATTCCAGTTAAATAGAAGGTTGTGGGTTTGGCAGGAGCAGGGGGAAGAAACGCCCTGAGATGAGTGTTTCCTGACGCTGACATATTTCCAACGGCCGTCAGAAAGAACCTGCTGCCCCCTCCGCTCCCACACCCTCTATAGCTCCCCAGGGCCCTAGAGGGACAGGCCTTCTCTACGGCCTGATGTCTGAGGCCCCCTGCTGCCAGCCCTGCCCCTGAACCCTGGGATCACCTGCCCTCCAAGCTCTGTCCCCTCCAGCCTTGCTCTGGCTGTGATTCCCTTCCTAGTAAACTCCTATTCCCGCTGCACTTACCAGCACCTCCTCCAGGAAGCCCACCCTTGCCTACCCTAAGGTCCCAGCTCACTGCAAATCTGCAGCGCTCATGGATGAGCGTTCACGGCATGGATGCAAAGTGGCAGAGACAGGGAGGTAACAGCCCCGGGGCGGCAGGCGCAGACTCACCCATGACCTCCAGCTGCACGTGCAGGAAGCTCTCGGCCTCGTCCTGGAGGGTGCTGTGCGCGCGCAGCGGCACGGGCAGGAAGCCATACACCTCCTTGTTGCACACGTACATCTGCACCTCTGCGGCCAGGAAGGACAAGTGAAGGCCAAGCAATCCGCGGCGGGGCCACCGGGCAGCGCTGGCCGCCTCTGGCCAGCAGCGAGCTGCCCAGAGCGAGCCGCAAAACAGCCCGTCTGGCCCCAGCCACCGGTGACAGCCCTGGGCATCCCACCCTCCGCCCCGGGGACCTGCGGCAGGACAGCCTCACGCCTGCGCAGACCTAAGGGATCAGGACCCCCTGGAATGCCACTGGGCAAAGTCACAGAAAACTCGGTGACACCCAGCGAGCATCTCAGCAGCTAGGGGACTCCACAGGGCGAAGCCCAAAGGCACAAGACGAGGTCACGAAGCAGACCCGACACGCCCACGCGGGGGGTGGAGGGGACGCAGCAGGCGCAGGGACCCAGCGCCTCCCGCGCTCTGCGTTCCTGTTGGTGGTTGAAAGATGTTTTTTTTCTTTATTCACTACAGCATCTGCAGTAGTGTCACTACCCCTTGTTTACAGACTAAACTTTCCCATAGGTTCCTCTAAAAAGGGAAACAATTCATGTGGTTTGGTCCTCCGCAGTTGAGGCACCCACCAAGGGTCCTGGACTGTGTTTCCCCACAGATAAAGGGAACCACAGATGCTCAAATGTGGAGGATTGAGAGAAGATAGAAACGCACCAAGAGGGAAGTCGCATTCAGTAAACAGGCCTCCGAGAGCTGGGCATCTACTCAGGAGACTGAGGCAGAAGGACCCTGTTTGAAGCCAGCTGGAAACTGAGACCCTGTCTCAGAAAAGGGCTGGGGAGGGAGTGAGGGAAATGAGGGCTGGAGACTGGGTCCCAGAGAATTAGCGGAACACCTGGATACAGCCACGCCTGAAGGCAGTCTAGTACCCTGCAGCTTCAGCTCCTTGAACATTCCGGGTGCTGTTCGGACTTGCTCAGCACGTAACCCAAAGAACCAGGCAGGCACCCCGAAAGACAGAGCCCTCCCTCTCTCACTCACCTGCCTGCTTGCAGGAGAAGGCGAAGACGATGATGTCATCGAAGGACCAGGTGTAGTCGGGGTGGGGAGGGTAGAAGGCCAGGTTCCGGGAGGCCGCCTTCCGCAGGTCGATCAGGAAGGTCGAGTGCACCATGGGAACCGCGAAGCAGCCCCTGCGGTCGCGCTTGCGGATGGGGATGTAGGCGGGCGTGCGCTTGTAGTAGCCCTGCGGGAGGCCGAGGCGGAGGTCTGCACCCTTCGCACTGTCCCGGCCCGGCCCGGCCCCAAAGCGGAGGCTGGAAGCCTTGACTGCAAGACTGGGAGGCGGCCTCCAGCTTCCACGGGATCCCCCCAGGACCATCAAGCCTGTCCCCACCCAGACCCTTCACAGATGGCAACAGCAGCAGCGGGCAGACGGATGGATATGGGAGCAGGCGGCGGCGCGGGCAGAAGGGGCGGAGGCCAGGGGAAGCCGCAGCAGCTGCTCTGACCCCAAGAAACCCAGGCCAGAGGCGAGCGGGCGGGAGGGGGGCCTCTACACAAGTTCTCAACCCTGGACACCCTCGAGCTGGCGTCCTCCCTTGGGCCCTTCAGAGACCAGAACTGTGACAGTGCAACATTTGGATATTATTTTTAAAAATCAAGCCACTGAACAGTTCACTTGAAAATTGTAAATTTTTTGTTACATGAGTTTTCTCTTCAGTTAAAAACAAAAAGAGGGCTGGCGGGGCTCAGGGGCAGAGCGCTGGCCTCGCATGCATGAGGCACTGGGTTCGGTCCTCAGCACCACGAATAAATAAAGATCCTGGGTCCACTACCACTAAAACGGAAGGTTAAAAAAAGGTCAGGAGCCGGGGGTGCGGCTGGGTGGCAGGGTGCAGACTACCATGCGGGGGCCCAGGGTTCCATCCTCAGCACCCCAAGGTCGTGGTGGTGGGGAGGAGACAGCACGGATTAGTGTCCTGGCTGCAGTCCCCCAGCCCCTTGCATGCCCCCAACCCACCCGACCTTCCACTCCTGTGGCTTTGCTTAGTATCCTACACTCAAACCTGAGGGTGGGACTTGTGACTAGGCCTGACCAATCATAGTTTTGTATTTTCCTGGCTTTAATAACTGGCTCAGGACTGTCCCCTGGCTGGACACTGATAGGTTCTTTCCAGTGCTGTCCGAGAATTAAGCCAGTCAATGAATGGTGGAGGAAAAACTTGAACATCTGGATCAAACCACGCCTGAACCCCCATCCTGGTACCATCACTTCCTAGCTCTGGGCTTTAAGGCAAGTTTCCACCTCAGTAGTGGTAGGGAAGTCACTGAAGACACTGCCTCAGTGGGCTTTCTAAGGGTTAGCATGAGGGCATTTGTACAAGGTTGTGTGAAGACAAGTTAGACTGCAGCTAGGGCCCCCGCTTGTCACCTGGCCTCCATCCCCGGGCCCCGTCCTACCTGGGAAGTCATTCCACACCAGAAGTTGGAGTACGCGGCCCGGGAATCCAGCATAGGAGCCACCACGGTCTTGTTCTCGGCGATGAGCAGGCTCAGGGTGTCGGGGTTGATGAGCAGGTTGTCTGCGTCCACAAACTGCAAAGCACCCGCCGGACGTCAGCGTGGGCCACGTCAGGCCGCAACTCGGAACCACTGGGCAGAGGCCAGCGCCTTGGGTCCTGATGAAGGCCCTGGCTCCTCACCTACCAGCTCAGCCCTTGAGAATAAGCCGCCTGGGGCTGAGTGTGTCCCCAGTTTCCCTGCTGGGGCTGGGGCTGCTGTGCGGTATGGGGGAGGGGAGGGCTGTAAGAGGTGGGGCCTGGTGGAGGTGACTGGGTCACTGGGTCAGTGTGCCCCAGGGCCAGGGAGTTCCCCAGGAGGAAGTCGGTTCAGAGAGCTCCTGGGCACCAGCACTGCCATGAGGCTCCCGCCACCTGGTGGCGCACTCAGCTCCCAACTGTGAGCTACATGACCCTTTCCTTATCTTGACTCCAGCATCAGGTATTGTCACAGCAACACAGAACAGACTGTGACCCCAAAGACTGTCATCAGCACCTTCCACGAAGGCCACACAAGGATGTTCGGGGACGGCAGTGTCATTACCCCACCAACCGCGAGCAACCGGAATCCAGCAGCAGCAGGTCAGGTAGGGGACAGACCTTGACCTGGTCCCAGGCCGAAATGAGATGCCACCCACCACTGAAGGTCACGGACACGTGTGGCCAGATGCAAGTCAGGCTGCACTGGCCTCCACCCGGTCACCTTGCATGGATCCAGTGGTGGCTTTGTTTTTTCCTGGCTTCTTTTTTTTTTTTAATGTTCGAGAAGACCGTGAACACCGACCCGCCATTAACGAAAGCAATCCTCTAGGGAAGGCACGGGGTTTGTTTTGGTACCTCAGATTGAACCCTGAGCCACATCCCCAGCCCTATTTTGCATTTTATTTAGAGACAGGGTCTCACTGAGTTGCTTAGCATCTCGATTTTCCGAGGCTGGCTTTGAACTCCCGACCCTCCTGCCTCAGCCCCCCGAGTCGCTGGGATCACAGGTGTGGGCCACTGCACCTGGCAGAAGCGCAGTGCTTTAGAGCTGTCACACCATCCCGTTCCCTGGGCTGGAAGCAGGCCTCAGTGCCCCCACGGGCTCCTCTGGCCTCCCAGGTGCCGGAGGCCCTGCGGCACACAGTGCAGTGTATGTACCTCCTGCTGCTGCCGACGACCCGTTGCAGTGACCTCGCTCCATCTGAGCTGTTCATGTTACCCTAGAGTATTTTCTTTTCGGATGACAAGCTAATCAAAAGAGTCGTGCAGGAGTCTCAACGCTAACAACTGGCTGACTGCTGGGGTCTGGCTGGTTCCCCTTTGGTCCCCTCCTGTTTCAACTCAGTGGCTGGAGTCCCCACGATGCCGCTGGGCGACCGCTGAGCTCGGAAGGCTGTTTCAATGAGCGACAAACAGCTGCGAGCGCTCTCTTATATGAACGTAAATTTGGGGAAAACTGTGGCTGTGCTGTCAACGTTGGCAAAAGTACCGCAGCCACGGTGAGGAGCAGGCACTGCTCAGCACCGGCACCAGGTCTGGAGAGGCGCAGCTTGAGACTCTCCCCTCTGTTGGGAACCCGCTGTTAAGTACGTGCGTCTTATCTACATGGGGTCGATTACGGGAGCTAACATTTTCTAAGTAACAAAAAAAGAAAGAAAAAATGAAAAGAAAACCGCCCCACAGGAAGCAAAGCCGTCGGGAATTCCCAGCTCCCCGGACATAAGGACACGCAGGTCGGGATACGCCCCAGAACCACGGGCGGCACCTCCAACCCAAAATCTGAAATCCAAAATGCAAGATTTTTGAACCCGACATGGCGCTACAGGGGGAAGTTCTGTTTGGAGAACCTTGTCTCATGCACAAAGTTATTAAAAGCTGTTACACAAAACGACCTCCAGGCTGTGGGGACAAGGTACCCTGTGAAGCAAAGGAATTTAGACTTAGATGTCAGCCCCACGCTATGGGGCTCCACATAGGCCATACTCCAAAATCGGAAAACTCCAAAATCCAAGATCCTTCTGGTGCCTGCCTTTCAGGTAAGAGCCACTGAGCTGCAGGGAGGCTGGCTTCCCCTCCCCCGCAGTACTCTAGAATGCGGGGTCCACTGCCACACACAGGAAAACGGGGGTTCTCCTCCCTGGCAATGAGGGGACCCGCTCCCGCTGGCAGCCCTCCGCAGGGGAGACGGCTGTCCCAGGCTCCTGGTAGGAGCCAGGAGAGCGGCTCAGGTGCACGCTGTATGCGCATGCTCAGAGCAGCACTGCTCATCAGCGCCAGAAGGTAGAAACCACCAAGTGCTGTCCCCGGATGGACGGATGGACACCACGTGGTCCAGCCACACAGCAAGTGTCACTCAGCTATAACCTCAAGAACAAGACATTGAGCCCGGCACAGTGGCACAGCCTGTAATCCCAGCCGCTCGGGAGGCTGAGGCAGGAGGATGGCGAGTTCAAAGCCAGCCTCAGCAACAGCGAGGCCCTAAGCAACTCAGTGAGACCCTGTCTCTAAATAAAACACAAAATGGGGCTGGGGATGTGGCTCAGTGGTTGAGGGCCCCTAAGTTCAGTCCCTGGTACAAAAAAAAAAAAGATGACACTGAATGACAGCCCCTCAGAGAGCCCAGGTGTGCTGTTCCACTGACATGAAATACCCGAGCAGGCCCAGGCCGACCGCCACAGGAAGCAGGGGAGTGGCTGCAGGGGCTGGGGCTGGGGAGTGCCTGCCAGGTTCCTTCTGGGTGAGGCAAATGTTCTGGAAGGAGATGCCCCGTGTAGCATCAGGAGGCGCTACCGTCACCAACTGGGCATTGGACTGGTTCATTTCACGTTATGTAAATTGCACCTCAATTAAACAAACACAGCTACAAAGTGGTCTCTCTGGAAGGCGATATTAAGGTTTGTCCATTTTTTTCCCTTCTTATGCTTCTTAATTTTTTTTCCTGCTAATAATATCCCTAACTTTTGAGGGGGGAAAAGGAGTGGAAGCCCTTTTAATAATAAGTCTAAAACATCAGACAAACAGTTTCACTCCAACATGGTTCTCCAAAGTCCCCAACTAAAAAATGTAACTTTGTGTCAAAAGCTGCTTTGAGCTTCCTCTGCAGTTCCACCCGGGGGTGCTGAAGGGAAAGAGTGAAACTCCCGATCCCCAACCACAAAAGCAAAGGCCAGCGGACGGACAAGGCGGCTCTGTGCCGGAGGGGTCTAGGAGGAGCCAGAGCCACCTCTGAGCTGCCCCCTCCTTTGCTCTGCTGCTCACGTATGTGTGAGGAGGAACCCGCAAGACTCACTTGGGGGCTGGGTCCACGCTCGCTCCTCCCAGGACAGCTTGCCCACGGCAGCCACAGGGAAAACCCTGGAGCACACACAGCCCTGCCCTGCTCCGCCCCCCATGGCTCCCCAGCACCCTGCAAGCTTGCACAGGAGGGTCCCCACCCCAGTCACTCAGTAGCACTGCTGCACTCCTGTCCCAAGAGTGCTCCCTGCTCTTACTGGGGACTCTGCCCTCGGCCCCACTCGGTGGCTCCTGTTCTCCTTCAGGTCTCTGCCTGGGCCCTTCCTCCGGGTCCCACGACCCCTGCTCATTCACTACGTGCCCTGGTTGTGGGTGAAGGTGGGCCTCCAGATTCCCTGAGGTCCTAACCCTGGCTCCTGTGAACGTGACCGGGGTCTCCTGCACCTACAGGAAGGCGCAAATTAAGATGAGGTCCCCCAGCAAGAGGTGGCCTTAAGTCCACTGACTGGGTCCTCTCAAGAGAAAAGGAGGGGACGGGGAAGCCATGTGACCAGAGCAGAGGCGCTGCCTGTCTCCACCGCATCGAAAGGGGAAGAGGCGGGGAGGACTGCCCTGGGGCCTCGGGTGGGGTGCAGCCTGCGGCACCCCGACTTCCCACCTGCAGTCCCCACAGTGTGGGAGCCACCTGGGGGGCTCGGGCCAGCCTGTGCCCACTGCAGATGCCGCAGGGCCGTGGCCCCTCCAGGTGCTCTGCGCGGCACGCCCTGCCTGCGGCGTCCCCTGGCTCTGTTCTGTGGTGTTCAGTGCCCGTCACCTTTCCTGGGGGATCAGGAAGGCAGGCTCAGCTGACCACTGTGTCCCCAGGGCCCAGCTGAGGCCAGCGCATGTGGACGCCAGCCAAGGGACAGCGCAGGTCGTCCCCGCGATGACAGCAGCACGGAGCCCAGCACCAGCCCCAGCACGCCGGGTGGCCTTACTGCTCTCCTGCTCTGCAGGGCCCAGCCGTCGGCACCCTCCCCTCTGTCCCAGGGAGGGGACAGGTACCATTACACCCAGGCCAGGACAGAAGGCGCTCACAGAGGTCCGTGGACACTCCTCCTGACACTACCGCGTTCCAGACTCAACGGTTCCGAGACGCAGCTGCCAGCCAGGGAGAGGGAGAGGGAGAGGAATCAGGCCTCCCTCCGCAGCCCAGCCCCAGCCCCTGGCCTCGTCCCCTTGCCTCTGAGAAGTGGCCCAAAGAATGTCACCGTGGGGTGTGCACAGAGCTTGGCTTTACTTGTGATGGGGTGACAAAAGCACAAGGGACCACACGGGACTGAAGCTCGCCCTTCTGGGGGCAGCGGGAAGTGGGGCTGAGCCCAGGGCGCCCGGCCACCGCGCACACACCGCCTCCCCATTTCCCGAGACAGCCAAGCTGCCAGGCTGGCCTCGACTTGCCCTCCCCCTGCCTCGGCCGCAGGGATCGCGCTCTCCTGGGGACTGAAGCCTGCACCAAGGACCAGGCGGCCCAGGGTCCCAAGGCCTGGGTCCTCTGCTCTCCAACTGCATGAAACTGGAGGAACTGGCACCTCCTCCTGCAGCCTCAGTCTGCCCTTCTGCAAAGTGGGTTACACATGGCCCCTGAAGCAGTGGCGCACGCCTATCACCCCAGTGGCTCGGGATGCTGAGACAGGAGGTTTGCAAGTTCAAAGCCAGCCTCACCAACTGCGAGGCGCTAAGCAACTCAGGGAGACCCTGTCTCTAAATAGAACACAAAATAAGGCTGGGGATGTGGCTCAGTGGCCGGGTGCCCCTGGTTTCAATCCCCAGTATCCACCCCCTCAAAAAAGATGGCCCCGCATCCTGCTGCTCTGCCTGTCCCTGGCCATCCAGCCTCCCTGGGCCCACAGCCATGGCTGAGCAACTCACCAAGATGTAATCAGCCCACATGTCCCGAGCTGATTTCAGGGCAGCTTGGCGCAACTTCATGACGTGCTCATAGCGAGAGTCGGACCAGTGTTTGGGGCCCTCTTCGTCTGGGTAGGACCTGCGAAGGGAAAGTGTGATGTGGGAAGCATGGGGCGCGGCCAGAGCCCAGAGAGGGCCTCGGCCACCCTGGGGATGATCAGAGGAGGCTTCCTGGAGGAGGAGGCTTCCTGGAGGAGGAGGCCTGCGAGCTGAGCTAAAGGCTGGGCAGCAGTGGGAGGTGGAAAAACCCTGGGAGGTGTGTCCTCACGGGCAGCAGGGCACACACAGGGGACCAGAGGGAGCGAAGCTGGAGGCAAACGGTCAAGGAGAAAAGCTCAGAGTGGCTGCAGAGGGCCTCCCATGCAAGCAGAGCACCACTGAGGAGGAAGGGGAGCCGCTGGGAAAGGGAGGGACACAGACACCCCTCGGATCACAGGAGCCGGGCGTGGGAGGGGCGCCTGGAGCCCCCCCCCAGCAGTTTGGGGGCAGCCTGTGCGACACCGTGAGAGCCTCTCGAAAGAAGCGGGAGATCCTAAAGCGATGGAAGGAACCTGGTGGCCACATGGGCCAGGGCTCTCATGGAAGCTCCATACAGAGTGGCTCCTGGGTTCACCCCGAGACAGGAACAATGCAGTGGGTGTCACCAGGACAAAGGACTAAAGAATTCCAGGTGGAGGGAAGAGCTGGGACAAAGGCCTGGCAGGATTAGGGCCTATCAGTGATGGGAGGAGTCAGGGCTCCTGTCAATGGTCAGGCTGGAAAGTCACAGGCTGAGGGCCTGTGAGTCCTGTTCCAGGGCAATAGGGAGCCATGGAAGGTGTGTGAGCAGAGGGGCAGCCAGTCAGACCTGGGGGCTCAGGCAGGACCTGGCGCTCACCTGGGATCCTCCGCCGGCCGCCACTCCACATAATGGTACAAACTCTTCACCGCCACCAGCCATTCCCGCAGCACAGCTGATGTGTTGTCTGCATTGTGGTCCGTGGCCACCCTGTGGGCGCAAGGGGACAGTCAGCACAGTTGGGGGGAACAAGACAGGACCACGTGATGCAAGGCTCCCAGGGCTGCTTTCCTGGCTTGGCCTCCCACCAGCCATGTGGCCCTGGACAGAACACTGCCTCTCCATGCCCCAGTTTCCTCATCTGTAAAAAGGGAGTGGGGACAGGCCCGGTCGCTGGGTGCATAAACAAGCTGGCTTGGAAAACCACATGAGCCACTGGGCTTCGCTGCTGAGCTTGGGGGTCTTATGACCAGGTACGCGCAACTTAATAATTAAAAAAAAATCTACATTTCATAAAGTCACCCGGCCTGCCTTCCTTCTCTCCTGTGAGTGACACACCTCATAGTGGGCTGTGCTCACGCATCATTCAACAAACAATTGTTAAGCACCACATGTATGCTTGGATGATCCAGACTGGGGAATGTGGGGCAGCCCGGAGAGGGACGCTGAGGAGTCTAGTTTGGCCACGAAGCGGAAAGTTAACTGTCCCTAATAAATTGTTCAACCTTAAGGGCACCAGTAACGTCGACACCAGGAAAGACAGTGCCCCAGCTGTGGCTCCTGAGGCCAAGCCTGCGCCAGGCACGACGGCCGCCGGCGGGGCGGCCCCAAAGGCAAGCGCAACGAGTGGCCTTGACTCGCCCCCTTTCCACGGGGGAAACCGAGGCAGAAGAGCAGAAGTCACCAGTCAGGCTCCTCACGGCGCTGGCCTTCCGCTTGCCCCTGTCATCTGGTCCCCTGCTGGCCCACGAAATCAGAGGTCGGGTCCGCCTGAGCCCCAACTCCTAGGGCCACCCTGGAACCAGGGAAAGTTCAAGACCCGACAGGGCAGCAAGAGCCCGGAAGCCTCTCCCTCAGATGTGGCCACGGCCAAGCCCAGGGGCGCCCAGGCCTTGTGGAGCTGTGGGTGCCCCCCAGG